GGGGTGGGAAACAGGTGAGATACAGAGGAATGAAATGAATGATGAAAGGATAATTTCTGCATTTTTTAACCTGCATACTACAAAAAGTTTTGGAATCCCTGCAGAAGATGGCTCGAAGGAGTTTGTTGTGTACATAGAGGAGATGCTAGCAAGACTTTAAAACGTTACTCTGACACAACAAAATCCTCTTTTCAACTCTGCCTCATGTCTCCACCAGTGTCTTCCTGGCACAACTCACCTGATTTCAGTTTCTTGTTAAAAACAAAGGGTGTCACTGAGAGTCGTAGGGATCCTTTCCGTGACGTTTTACATCTCGTATAACAGTCTGAGCCTTTCAGTGGCAAAAAGTCCTTTTTGTGGACGTAATTTTGATGGGCACTATTGCCCTGAAGGAATTTGTTGCAGCCAGTTCAGCTGGTTTGCAGATGCTACTGCTACTATCTACTGCACGAATTCCAGAACATTTTGTACCTACTAGCCATTTTGACACCAAAATATGTGAAAATAGTGCATAGGTTTAAAAATACCAAAATCATTCTTTAAAGAAAGAAGGGAAAGAGGGGATGGGAGGGGTAGAATAGAGAGTATGGGGCTCTGACACACACCCACACGCCCACCCACACAGTCACACTCTTCATGTTGCCTGATTAGCTCTCTTCACAAGACTGTGTGTGAGTGTGGTTGATTGACATCTCCCTCACTTTCCAATTGGTTTTGTTGCACCTAGGGAGTGGTTGTTAAGGCAGACCAGCCTACGCTGTTATCATTCTTATTGGGACACAAAGTTGACAGACATCACGTAATTCCCATCTGAGATATAATTATCGTTATTTGATCTTTAAGCTCCATCCAACCTCCACCTGACTAGAGGTCTAATCATTCAGGGTAACTGAAAACACCTGGGTCGATGGATGTGTGCATAGCCTTTAAGAAATCAACCACTCACATTTACAAGGGAACAATTGTACTGATTTTAATAATAACATGTTTGTATTCTGAACAATTATTTGTATGGTTAGCTACAGTTTAATAGTACTGGTCAGTGTAAAGGTTCATTCAAGTTCTCTCTTGTCCTGGTGAACGAAAGCAGATGCTTTATCTATAGTTTTTGATCCAGTACATTGTTGTTATTAGTGTTTTTACATGGGGACCATGCCCTTTTTGTTGTTTTTAAATACATTTACAGCTATCACCAGACCAAGAGTTTTTTTGCTTAGCAAGGTTCCTAACTGAGTGAAGTGACTCGGAAGCATTTAAGTGGCAGCCATGATAAGAGCTGGTCGAATTCTCTAAAAGCTAAGGAAAGGTTCTCCAATGTGTCTTTCTTACTTAGCATAGGGTACACTAGACCATCCTTTACCATAGACAGTATATTAGTAACAATGGTTATTAACCATGGTTATTAACCATGGTTAGCCGTGCAGCGACCAGGACTATGTTTTTTTTGCCTGTGCTCTACATCATTAAATGATGATGCATCATTAAATGATGTAGAGCACAGGCAAAAAAAACATAGTCCTGGTCGCTGCACGGCTGCACAAACAAAAGTCTTCTGGCTCAGTGTGTTTATCTGACACGGATCATCACTGTTTAATCAGCCCACCTACAAGGCTCACCTGCAAAACACCAACGCTCTGTCACTGATGGCCGAATAGTTTTTTTTAGATTCATAGAGAGCTATAATCTAAGCAATACGGTTACATCTCTCATGTACGACAGGGTGTCGCAGGGTTTTTTTTGGCTTTGGTTGGCTTCACTGTTCAATATCTGGCTTACCCCCTTGTCCTTTATCAAAGAAAAGGAGGTAAGGCCATCCCACAGTTCCTTGCAGCAGCAACATTTAAAGCAACGCACCATTGCAGTTTCACCACAGCAGATCCACTTAAATGTAGAAATAACAGAGCACTTATTTTATACATGTGACACTATCCAATAAAGTATGGAAATCCTTGTATGATTAGCTGAGCTCCAAAACCACAAATAGAGATTTCTTCTCTGTCAAATCCATCCAGTTAGGAGGAATCATGAAAAAAAAAGAATATTGAATTTCTAGTTAACAATATCAGCATCATAACAAACTACTATATAGGGCTACATAAATGTTGTTTCACTGAACCCCCAACGTTTTGGAATGAAATTTTTTTTTTTCTCTACTTCACAAATGTATAAAAAAGGTCAAAGCAACCATACCAGGAAACTCCTTGCTCAATTCCTTATTTTTATTTAATTATTATTTAAATGGCTCAACTTCTTCTTCCTGTATATTGATTTTTTTCATTATTCTTTTTAACATTTCAACCCTATTTGTTTTGTTTTCATTTTTAACAACCATCTATTTTGTTGTTTATTCCTATACAGTAATTGATGGTTAAATGAACCCTATGTGCCCTATATGTGAAGTTTTTCTTCGAGGTCAAGGAAAAGTGGTTAGGAAAGGAAGTTTTTTTTTACTTTTTGACCACAGCCAAAGACTGAGGAACCATTTGGCATGGGCAGTGATATTCTGCAACAAAGTAAGGAGGACCCAAATGCAGACAACCGGGCAGACTGGCCCCGTTCAGTGATTTATTGCCACAATGAAGTATATATATGTACATGCAGGTATGGTGAAGGCAACATGAGAAACATGGAAACTTGTGTGACTGGGAACAACCTGGCAGGGAATTGGTGAAAACCAGACCAGTTGCTGTATGTACTGCAGGGCTGACAGGGGAAAGTGAAAACAGGTTAGCAGGAGGATGAGGGAGTCAGGTGACTGGGGCGGGTGGAAAAGTCTGAGGGCATCTGGGGGACAGGTAAAGAACTGCCATGAATAGAAGTGGGAGTCTGGCTGGAGAGAGAGACAGAGAGACAGAATGTGACACTAAAGCACCTTACATCACAGATTTGACTATCCAGTACACTTTAGTCACAATGGTAACTTGCTAACTTCGCATTATATCATTATTATTATTATTATTATTATTATGTTAGCTCTCTGCTGTAACATGAGTTTACAAGGCATGCTCTCTCTGCTTGTTTGCATGATGAGGAGCCAGATAGTTTATAGGTACTAGGGTTCAAGGCTCAGTCTGATAGATGAATATATGTTATCAGCCTGCTTCATTAAATTTAAGTTGCGGTTGATTTGACATTAGCCAGTAACACTATGAGCTATAATGAATCTTTGAAAACATTTGATTTCAGTTCAATTATTCGCTCCATAAAAACAGATACAATGTGTAGAGGGGACAGTTTCATCATATTTTGTGAGATTTTCTCTCATCTCTTACAGTTCACTTCAGATCTGATGCTGAACACACGGTATGATTCAAAGAGAATCATATAGGTAACTGTAGGTGTCTTTTACTCCTAAACCCCTTGTCTGGGCAGTACATAAAAGGTACACATGTCCTAGACCAATAGTCTCAGTGTGTTTTTCATTATTGTTCTTGCTTTTCTGCTTTCATGTTTCATGTCTGCATACATTCTGTGAAAAGACATATATAAATATTAAGTGGTCAAGAAGACTTGATGGATGGTCCAAAGAAGGCATGAACGTCAGGATTACAGCCAGGTAAAAGTGTCAATTTATGAGGAAATGGACATTAACTGATGAACTCCAGCAACGGCACATCAGTTAAAACATCAGTATTAATATGTGAACACTTTTGAAGAAACAGAGAAAAGGGAAAACAGAGTGGGACAATAGAAGTAAAGAGAGGGAGAGAACAGAATAGATGCTGGACTCTAAAACCTTTATTGTCCCAACTTAAACACAATAAAACCACTCATCAAGAGACAAAACAAAAAGTGAGAGAGAGCAAGCAGACAGGGGGCATAAAGACTGGACGACACAAAGACAAAGCTGGCAGCTGAGAGGAGGCAGGATGTGTCAGTTCTGCCCTCAAAATGAGATGACAAACATTTTCTGCTCCAGTGTAGCAAATATGATACAGAAAGGGACCAAATTCTTCACAAAAATAAAATTGAAATTTAAAGAGAATGATCCCTCTTCCAACCAACTCAAAATGCCATGCCTCCTTGGAGAAAAAAGCCTCCCCAGAGACAGCTAAATTTATCAGTGCGTGCCACAACCAAAGGGGAAACCATTTGAGAAACACATAAAAACTCTAATTACTCTGATCAACATCAACCTGTTTGTTTTCGTTTTCATGACTCCTCACATGATTGCAACAATTTTGTTATACTGTTCTGTTACACATTCAAATGCACACAAACACACAATCAGGAGCACTCCCTGATAAAAGGTGTCAACATCACTGAAATATGAGTTGACAGCGGGTAATTGCTGTGGCAGTTTCATAGTAAAGTTCATTAAATTTTAAACTTAGGATGAAAACTGGAGAACAGATGGAAGCGTTGGATATGATAGAATGAGAAAACACAAGCCTCGCACAATCTGAACCAACCAAATTATAGCCAAAGATAAAAGAAAAGTATATCAGCCAGTCCTGCTGAAATTCAAAATAAACTTCAGTGTTATTTAGCACTAAATAGACAATACAGAATGGCAGTGACAATACCATCTGCCCACGGTGAGCGACCGGAAACTGAGAAAGACATGAAGTAAATTCAGAATGAGTGACCACAACCTGGCCATTGAGACTGGTGGCCACAGACAAACCTGGCAACCAAGAGACAACAGCCGGCATCAGTGCTGTCAACAATAAGAAGTAGAGACCAAGCAACTTTTCTTGCTTTACTACACCCAATAAAGACATAACTTTACTGAGTTTACCAAACTAAAACCCCAAAAAGTGAAATTAAGAATGTGCCCTTTCAGAGAGCTATATAACATTTTAGCTTAACATCAACTACGGTAACATTTTAATGTTGCATCTGGCAGAGGTGGGGCTCATTTTAACTATTTTATATTGTGCCTTGTAGTTCAATCCATAACAATACAAAGTATTTTTTTAAGATGATCATAAAGGTTTTGTATGTAAAATCTTAATCTGCAAGCTATAGCTGTAAATGTAGTTAATGTCGCACAATACTATACTGATCTTCTTCAAAATTCCTCGTTTTGATTTTTATATCTCGTTTATTCTGAGATGGCACCATTATATTTTCAAATACTTCAATCTCCTTTTTTGGTATGATTTCTTTGCAGCAATTTCTTTTCTTTCATTATGGTGAAAGCTACCATCTTGCTCTCTAATTCTTAACTATTATACTTACATTGTAAACCTTGTACACATGCTTTGGAAATACTGTACTTAATCTAATTATGGCCATGCCAAATAAAGCAATTTACAATTTGAGAGCCAGTGAGGGAGAGAGTAAAGGTAAATGAGTGAAAGCAAGAGGGAGCAGAAGAGGGATCAGAATGGAAGGGGAGTAATTGAATTGTAACTGAGGCTTTGGTAATATTGTTTATGCAACACTCACGCTCCTAAGGCATGCTGAATTGTTGAAGTTAAATTGAATGAGGGAGATAAAAGAGCGGTAGAGACTTGGACATGAGTGGAAGAGCGAGAGGGTGCCAGAAATGAAACAAGGAGGATTTTAATGGGAACCTTTAACTGCTTCATCAACATATAGGCGAATTGCCTGTTATACCAATACAGCATAGCCTATTTGATTTTGAAAAGAGAGAGAGAGAGAGAGAGAGAGAGAAAGCGAGAGAGAGAGAGAGATGCTCTGGCTTTGCTTTCATCAGTCACATCTCGCTGTGGGAGGGGGATTGAAGCGACTGCCTCGGAGCTCTCCGGTAACAGAGACAGTAGACGGCACTGACTCATACTGACGGTCCACACACAGCACATTTTAGACTCTCCCTGACCTGCAACCTGACAGGAGGATGATGATGAAGACATAAAGGAACTTTCAACTGGTTTATTGGTTGTTTTGAATCCTCTCTTGGCAGCATATTTCTCTTAATATTTGGGCATCAGATAAAGTCAGAATGCATGTTATTTATTCACCAACGCCAGATGGCGGTGAGTTGAAATATCACTGAAACACATCTGAGTGTGTTGGGACGGGACAAGGTGTTTTTTCCTCACCTTTTTCTTAACAACTGCGGACGAGAAAACTTCGTTTCTACCGGTGGCGGACCTTCTATTTTCATCCTCATATCCGACCCCCTTCTCCTTCTCCTCCGCCTCCTCCTCTTCCTCCTCCACCACCTCCTTTTCCTCCTCCAGCCGTCTTCACTTGATAAAACAACAGCCGACGAAGAGACAAGACGACAGCTTGCCTGCCAGCGGTCAAAGGGAATCAAAATAACAATTTAGTCAACAGCAGCACAGGATTGGATCCTCACAAGGATGCTACTTCAGCACAGACACTACTAGACGGTCCAAACAGCCGCTGCCAATATGTTTAGGCGAGGTAAGAGAAAGAGGGATTCACTTGTTTTTGTTGCTGATGGCATGGAGCGCGTGTGACTGGGCTGTTTATTGGTGTCGACGTGTGTGTGTATGTGAGTTGGTAAAAAATCTTGGAGTGTTTTTTTTTTTTTTTTGCTAAATGGAGTCGCTGAGTAGACTGTTGGTCCCGCTTTAACAACTTACCATCCGTCGTTTATTCGCTCTGGGGGCCGGGAAAGGAACGGGAATTAAATATTTATCCACTTCATGTAAAAATGATTCTTAAAATAGCGAACCGCTGCCGCACTGCAGTTTGTGGGACTTACCTGCGCGAGGGTGGTGTTGTTGCTGAGCGCGTGCCAGTTTGCGTGTGAGAGAGGGAAATAGAAAGAGAGCGTGTGAGAATGTGATTGTTAGGGGAAAAGTTGACAATTGTGCTTTTTTGGTACAAAACTTTCACCCCATTGGGCACATATAGCTTGAGCGCGCGCGCTTGTGTGCGTGGTCACATTGGCGTGATAGAATGAGACGCCTGCCAATGGCAGGATATTTCGACTGCACTAAGGGAGAGGGTGGCTCTCCCGGTGGAGGAGTAGACAAGATAATAACAAACACCTTGCTGTTAACTATCACACTGACACTGTTTTGTGGTGAGAAACGGTATTAAGTTTTACTACAATGACCTTGCCTGTTTGTGTTCACAGGGGAGCGCCAATCTCACTGGCAGCTTCTTCTTTCTGTGCATAAATGCGCACATGTGCGTGCACGTGCGTGGCAGAGAGGAGGCCCAATTAACATCACTTTAAAGAAATCCTGAAAAGCAATTTCACAAGTTAAATATACCACTCATTCGGTCATAATTGAGAATATAATGTTTAATATGAAAGTACACACACACGCACACACACACACACACACACACACACACACACACACACACACACACACACACACACACACAGACATTTTAAAGAGAAGTGTTTGTGGAGTGGTGACTCATCTGCCAATCCCCCCCAAAAAGATACAGTGGGGCTCCAGTGAATAGCAGATTGTCAGGGAAGCCCACTGCTTTCTGATGAGTGTAGAGCACAGCTGACTGAACCCTGAGAACATAATAGAAACATTTTTTAAGTAGAGACATTGGGAAGTCTGACATTTGTCATTTCAATGCAGCACAACGCAGAGGAGGGAAACTACACACAAACATCCATGCACACCATTAGCTCACTTGGTTGGCCCGACTCAGGGCACAAGCTGGGCAATCTCCCCATTAAGGGTGGGACCTAATGGGCTTGACAGAGGGCTGATTAGTGCTGTCATTGTGTGTGTGTGTGTGTGTGTGTGTGTGCGCGTATGACAGAGCATAAAAGAGACACAGAGAGCTTGCTGGCTAGAGGGAGACAAGCTTTAATTTTAATCTTCCTGTAATTTCAGATGGATAGCACCCACCCACCTACATGCACACACACACACACACACACACACACACACACACACACACACATACACACACACACGACACACAGTGGTGATAGCTGATGCGTTTGCTTTGTATCTCCTCCTACAAATATGTGGCTGTCAGTAGCAATAATACAATTCAGAGTAATTGTGCAGTCTGCCTGAGATACAGTTATCTATGTCTGTCACCTTTACCCACAGTATCGCTCTGTGGTGGGATAAAACAAGAGAGGGAGGAGAAGTGTTTTTGTGTAACGAAAACTCCATCTCTCTTTCTCTCTTTGTCTGTCTCTCATTCTTTCTCTATCTCTCTGCTTGGCCAGTTCCTGCTGCCAGCCTCAGACTGAGAGGAGAGAGGCCTGGCAGGCTGATTGGCTACTAGATGCCTGGTTTGGGCAGCTGCCGAAGCTTTGTTTCCCAGCTTGTTTGAAGCTGGATTTGTTTCCCTTACTTGACTTTGCCTCTGTCTCCAACTCTTTTGTCTCTTGTTTTATCTAGTTTTTCACAGTCACGTACACACTTGACGCTTTGTGAACAAAAAACATGCCAAACCTTAAAATGAGCTATGAAAAGAAAAGCTCTTTTGTTAACAAAGGCACAAACGAAAGGCTTTATTATGCTCTGTCACAGTCTGTAGAAGTGCACACACTCAGAGTTGCACTTGCATTTTAAGGTTTTCAGCTAGGATTATTTTTATTCGCGATTAATCTGGCAGATATTTTCTCTATTAATCAGTTGGTCAATAAAATGTCCATTATAATTTCCTAAATCCCATGCTGAAATCTTTAAAATAATATTTTATCCTACTTACAGCCCCAAACCCAAAGAATATAAAGTTTATAGGGCTTTGAAAGCAGTTTGATAGACAGTGTTTTAATGGCACTGACTGCACCATCATACTGTGTTGCAGCCCCATCATTCTACTTTCAAGGTGGCTACATAATCTCATATAATATACATTTTGAGGCTTTCTGGGGAGACTCCTGAGAGGATTTGTTCATCAGCAAGCTGATATCATCTGGAATTTCGTGTGTTAGGGTTTTTAGAAAGATTCATAAGATACCTAAGATAAGACTATGCAAACATTTAAAAAATGGGCTGTGGAGATACCTTTTTGCTGGTGGTTGAACTGGAGCAAGATAGATAGATAGAAGATAGAATAGATACAGTTATTTTGTTGGTCAAATGCATTTTGAGTTTAAGCAATGACAATATAATCTATTGTTTGGTCTACACAGAGCTTTGCTGTGTCAACAATTTTATAAAAGGGAACACAAATTGAACAGTGGTTGTGAGCAATTATCAATTATTTGTACTTGATTAATTAAACTTATTATCACTTCACACTACATTCAGATTTGTTAATTAAATAAATTTTAACATAATATAATGTGTTGTTCTATCTACACCAAGTGTTTTCAAACTAAGACAAATATTTTAATTTAAATTAATGTATTTAAATGCATTATGTACACATATGTTAAGTATTGCAATCTTCATACTTTATACAGTACTACGAACTGGGTGTCGATGGAGACATTCCTGGAAAAAATGCTGTACCAAGTTACCGCTAATGCAAACCAAACATTTCCTACTGCTGCAGCTTAACATTAAAAGCATTTAACTGGCAAAACAGGCGTTGACCTTTCTTATGAAGTATTCAGAGGAAATGTAACGTGTTTGTTAGTGACCTTAGAACTGACAAACACAATGCATTTTGTTGTTAAAAAATGCATGTAGTAATCAAGACAACGGTCAACATTTTTTGACAGCGGACCAGTTTCCAGGGAGTAATGGAACAAAAAGGTGCAGCAACAGTGAACTGTTACGCCAGGAATTACGGCTGCGCCACGGATTTGATGCGTCCATACCCCGGCGTCAAAGTCCACTGGAGGTGTCTAAGAAGCGTTTTAGCAGTGGACCGTGTAGCCTGCCCCACATAATTTGCTTGTTATTAATTTGACATTTTTGTGCTTCTACTACCTTCTTCACAGCTCTCTGTGACCCTGTTTCGTTCTGTCAACTTCAGGCTGCATTTCAGAATCAGAGCATTATGCCTGCCTGATTTTGCTGACATGTTTAGATTTTGCTGATTTGGTAATCAGTATTTGCATTTTGTGCTTCTGTGATTAAGTAGGCTACGTAGTAAAAGGATTTCCTTTTGTGTGTGTTTTAACCATGTTTATTGTTGTTTTACGATCGGGAGTCTCCACAAGGTGTTTATACACCCTACAGGGTAATTATTTTGAAAATTTATTCTCCATGCCATTCTGTGTCAGACTTCCTGCCTGGTTTGATCTGCTCTGTGCTGCTTGACGTGGCTAGCGGTAAAAGTAGTCCTGCTACCTATTCTCTGTGGAGCGAAGTGGAGAGCCACTTCTGGGACATTTCTGGGACGCGCTACGGCTGCATCTGGCTTACTCAAAAGCATTGACTATAATGGCCACAATTAGCTCCGGCAAGGGCCGTAGCCGGAGTCAGGGGATTTTAGGGGTTAGATGAAGAGCTACAGGTGATGGACTATACACCTTCAACTTCTCAGTGAGGTAACCAACTGTTTCGCAGACTCATGTCGTGTGCAGCATAAAATCAGATAATGGTTGCTTACAGAATGATGGAAAAAAGCCAATTATTGCCTGACTCCTTTATGACAGTAGTTCTTTTGCTGGCCCAAGAATTCTGTAACCTGTAGTATGAAACCGTACTTGCTGTTAGACCTACCAGCAGTAACCACAGGAGTTGCTAAATCAACCAGGACTAAAATCTTAAGGATCACAACTTTAAAAGTATGCCAAGCTATTAGGAGTTCCTGTTTGCAATATACCCATGGTTGTGTAGAAAACTATCACTGGATTACTTTGATCCTAAAGAAAACGTAGAAACGTGATAATTCACAGGCAAGTTCTAGCAAATTATGAGTTGAAATTCTCTGATTTCTAAGAGGCTTTATCGACCTTTATTCACATAGACTTAGAATTATCAGTCTGAAAAGGAGTACAATTTTTGACGCACCTGTCCCTTTCACCTCCCCCAATATCTTTACCTCATGTCCCTCCCTCGATGCTCCTCCTTCAAAATCTGATTTACACAATTCATAAAGATTACAGTCACTGCTTAACAGTATGTCGTGTATGTGGAAATGCTGGTGTTTGTTTGTCAAGACACTTAAATTTGTATGGAAAACAGCATGATTTTAAGTTGAATATGGTATAAGCAGTGCAAGTTTGACCATGTAGATTGATATTTTTTGGGGATTAATGACATGAAATGTGTCTAAATATTCATCAACTCAGTCCAACTCTTACTGTTTAAATTGTGAACTTGGACTTTTGAAGGTACAAGGTAGTTTCTTCTTCTCTTCTTATCATTACTTCTTAATATGATTTCATCCTCTCACTTTTGCTCTTCGTCCCCGCCAAAGAATATACTGTAATCCAATTTGCAATATCTGAAATAGTGAGATGTTCTCTTATATTTCCTTGAGCCATGATAATATATAACTAATGTCAGTGCTGAAATTCATTGATCAATATCAATATATGATGGTAAAATTGCAAGTCACTG